TCTGAAACAAAATGCCTTGATAACAATGTTGAAGCCGTAGCTTAACATGTGAATCTAAAATCATCAAAACTGGAGAAATAAATGAGCCACCATAAAAACCCCATGGGCGGCCGCCTAGGCCCATCTTTTCAAACACTGGCTGCTTAAATGAGCAGGCACTCTGAAACAAAATGCCTTGATAACAATGTTGAAGCCATAGCTTAACATGTGAATCTAAAATCATAAAAATAGGAGAAATAAAAGAGCCACCATAAAAACCCTCTGGGCGGCCGCCTAGCGCTTAGGAGCTGCCTAGCGCCTAGGAGCCGCCTAGGCTGATTTTTCAAACTTCGGTTGGTTAAATGAGCAGGCAATCAGAAACAAAATGCCTTGAGAACAATGTTGAAGCCGTAGCTTAACATGTTTGGTCAGCAGTGTCCTTCCGCCTAGGCCGATTTTTCGAACACTGCCTGAATTACATCAATGCTTGAACAGTTTATTAGCATACCTACTTATGCTATGTTTCTGAGACAGCATGGTGTTCAGTGGTAGAAAGACTCCCCTCGCCGGAAAATCTTTTGCAGCTGCAACTGAGGCTGCCTGAGGTGCAGTTCTTGTGAAGAAGATGACCACTGTGCCCTAGTTTTCTTTTTGATAACTCCAAAATGAAACGACGCCGTTTTGAATTTGGGGAATGAAATCCTTTTAATGAAACGGTGTGTTTTGTGACTTGAAAACAAACAATACTATTTCATTTTAAACTCTTATGTCCTCGTGAATTCATGCCCAAATTGGACCTGCTGAGCTATCAAATTCCCACCTTTAGTTTAAGCCACGTGCATCGTTAACTCTAGTTTTCTTTGGCACTCTGAATATGGCTACATTAGCTTGAATATTGTATGTCTAATATAATATATATGTGGGAATGCTTGATTGAGAACTAATACTTCTTATTAATTATTATAATGTTCTTTAATTAAATTAATTTATGGTCGAAAGGCTTATGCCTCACATTACAAGACCAAAAATACCTCTCTACCATGCCTGCTTTTTAAAACCTCGGTTGATGCCCATCATGTGCTTGAGTAAATTCCTAAAAAAGGCTTTGTCGTTTTGTTTGTTGCGCTCACTTATTATTATGTTCTTTTTCAAAATGGCGTTATTTTTCCCATTAATTATGAATGACATTATTATTGTTTAAATTTAAGGGTATTTGGCCATTAGACCTTCCCACACTTGATAAACACCGTCTCATCAAGTGGATTTTCCTTTCGACATATGAAGTTATGCTCTACATAAAGCACTGGCTTCATATGCTCACAGATTGCGTCCAACAATCGTTTGTTCATAGTTTGAAGCACTGGCACCTACATCAAATCAAATAATAAGTTCAGAAAAGCCTAGGCCTACCAAAATATCATCTCATCATCATCATGTACAAGACTTCTTGATAAACTTAAACAAGAATTATAGGTAGGGACAAATTCAACAAGTGTCACGTTGTTGAGTGGACCTAAGCAAAGATGTCGCTTTGTATCCCTCCTGGGAAGATTGTGCAAAAAATTATCCGCATCTAATGCCTCTGGTTTCTTGCCATTTGTATTTCTCATATTGCCGTATCCGCTTTTTAATCTCATTTCCTCCAATCTTGCAGTTTTTTACAACAAAGGGAACTGAGAACTCTGAAATAAACATATTTCCAATAAGAGATGCAAAATATACCAAGCAATAAACATATTTCACATGATTCTGTTATTCATCTACTTAAAATGTTTCTTTTGGAGTCTGTCAACTAGGTGCCTGCATTTTGTTACTTTTTCAGTTTCTTCTACTCTTGAGAAAGAAACAGAAAGAAATTCCACCATAGAAATTAGGTGAAAGGTTTACGTGTAAATGCATGCTAATCTCAAGGCCTCCTACAGTTGATACAATCCAATATGATTAGCATCCAGAATACCAGGTCAATCAGCTAGAGGAATGCCACGAATTTAGACAGGTAGCATAATAAATCTTATGCTTGCCATATAAATCATTTTCTGAAAGTGGATAAAAGAACTACAAACTAATCAATTTAGAAAGTGGCGATGAAGCAAGTTGAAGAGAAACAAGGACCAATAAGAAGGAAAACAGAAGGAACGCAAGCCTCTGCAATGGATTTTAAACAAACAGTCATTCCTGGTCATTTATACCAGTCATGGCTTCAAAATTCTTCACATACGTAAAAACTTTGATTTTTGACTTTGAATTATGTTATAATTAATGGGGATGATTTCTTGTAAGGGATCGCGAGTCTCTACATTTAGCATCGGTGTATTTACCCGCATTTAAAAAATATGAACCCTTAGATTAATCTAATGAGCTTTAATTGTATTAGACAAACTATGATGCACCTTATTCTTATCAATAATTCTTAGCATATGCCACATCATAGATTTTAATGGTTAATATTTTCTTGAATAGAGTTTTAATCTAAATACAATTATAGAGTTTTAATCTATAACTGCCATATATGGGACTGTATATTTTGATATATATATATATATACAGAAATTCTCTTATGCGGACATCCGGACGTTATTATCGTGCGGACGCAGTGTATTTTGTACTACCCCTCTCTGTTTTCCTGCCTGTTTACAATAGGATCCGCACGATAATAACGTGCAGACATCCGGATAAGAGAATAACTGTATATATATATATATATATATATTCAAACTAAGTTATTGGTTTAATCTTCTGGTTTTTCTGTCAAGTTTCCTTTACTCACTATATATATATATATATATATATATATATATATATATATATATAAAAAGCAAAAGGCAGAGAATGGTGAAACATTCAAAATACCAGAAAATGCCCTTGGTTAATGCAAACATTAAGAATTGAAATTATTAATTAAATGAGGATAATAATATGGTAAATTCACACTTTTTCATATTTAAAAAAAATTAAAATTAAAAGAAAAATCAAATAATTGCCTATTTTTATGGAACACAACTACCCATTATCTTTTTTAATTCTAAAATAAATTTTAATTTTTTTTAAAAAAGCCTCTCGCAGGCGCGGAAGCGCGTGCGGAGAGGCTAGTATATACACAATGGAATATCATCTATTCCCAAATTTCTTATATTTTATACCACATGATGTGACATGTTTATCTAAATTGTCACTTAATTAAATATGATGTATTGTATTTTAATAATATTATCATTATTTAATAATGGAATATCTAATTATTATTCTGTATGATTCACCAAAAGTTACCAAAGAAGGATGAAATCAACGGTTCTTCAATTCAATGCAGTCAAATTTTGTTCATTATTTCATTCTTCTTTGAGAGCTATGAATATTATAAAGTTCTTTCCTAATATATAAGAAAAAAGAGAAATTATGTTAAATATATATCTTGGTGAAAGAAAAGAAAAATTATTTACCCAGAAAAAAAAATATACATATTAATCGAGAGAGAGGGGCAGGCACATTACTCTTTCCTTGTTTGAAACCGGGGACGGTATAAAACCTAATGTAAATAGGATAATTAGAAATATGCATTAATTTATTTCCTATATCGTAATGAAAGTTATAAGTGGGAACAAATATTTATTTTCTAATTTAATTGGATAATTAAATAATTATCCTAGCGTAAGTAGGATCACTAGGAATATGCATTAATTTATTTCCTAATTTGATTGGATTTCCAACATGCATTAATTTATTTCCTAATATCGTATTGAAAGTTATAAGTAGGAACAAATATTTATTTTCTAATTTAATTGGATAATTAAATAATTATCCTAGCGTAATTAGGATAAATAGAAATATGCATTAATTTATTTCCTAATTTAATTTGATTTCCAACATGCACTAGGGTTTAGGACGTTGAATTAAAATATTGGAAGATATCTGTTTGTATATAAATAGGGCGGAGGGGGGGCGCTGGATGAGCAATTGAAAACATATAACCGTGCATTACGCTAGACCAAGTGAACAACTTCCTTCAGTCCCAGTTGAACAGCAAGATGATGGAAGCCTTACCCAAGGAAATTCTTACCGACATCCTCTTGAGGCTGTCGGTAAATTCGGTTTGTTGCATCAGATCTGTATCGAAGGCCTTGTTAGAGATAGTTGACGACGCCTCTTTTCCCACGCTGCACATGCGGCGTCGCATATTCGATAATGTTCCTCAAGTGCCTCGACTTGTTCTTCTTTCTTGCTCTCGTTTTGGTGATCAAAGGATGCACCCATTGAAATACGATGGCAACAACTTATTGACAAGGAGCAAAATTGTTTCCGAATTCGAGGACCCACAGTTTTCTTATAAGCAGGATTTTGTTTTCTGCAACTTGTTTGGCTTTACTAATCTTAATACGGAAAAAAGAAGGTCATGCTTGTTGGTGAATCCTTTCAAGCGAGAATTTCTAATGCTCCCAACAACGAGTGACCTCCAAGTTCCGGCCAACAGTTTCTGCAATTGTGATACTTACGGCATGGGATTTGATATTATGACCAACACCTACAAGATTGTTCGTGTCTCTTTGTATAAAAAGAGGGACTACCAGACCCGCGTGGTGACGGCTGAAGTTCTTGTATTAGGGACAAGCTCATGGCGGGAGTTACCCTCAGCTCCCTCTTGCTATCCATCCTACAATATGGCAGCATCTACACATGGAGAAATGCATTGGCTGGTTAGTGAAGATGACAACACGGTACATATACTTTCTTTTGACTTCAAGAACGAGGAGTTCTATTGGACTCCTCATCCCCTCGCGTTAAAGAAAAAGCTGGATCTTCCGCTTTTTATTCACTTGCTTAATTTCAAGGGATCTTTGGCCCTAGTGGATGTTTCTTCGTTAGATATAGAGATATGGTTATTGGGATTGAAAAATTATGATGATAAGAAGAAACGGGAGTGGGTGCTAAATTACAAAATAGATATCCAACAACATCCTCTTTGTCTTGGGAGTCATAAGCCTGGGCAGTTCAAGTTTGGCGAGTGGGAGCAAGGCATATTTTTCCACAAGGAGACCTATCTTGATAGGAGACGCTATTTATGTAGAAGTATATTCTTTGTGGATCTAACATGTATGTCCATTAAGAGTGTACTAATCATAGATAGACAAAATTCTACGGTCTATAGTTGTACCGACAGCATGATTTCTCTAAAGAATTATGGAGATCTGGTTGAGGTAGAAGAACAAAGGTACTCAACGGTTATTCTTGAGAATGAAGCAATCACCCTATGAAGACGACTAGGATAGTCTTTCTAAATGTGGCGAATGAGATCACGTCATATAATTTTCAACCATAATAACAATGATGTACGCCTTAGTTTTGAAGCATCTCTGTAAGAGAAGTAATATATTTTTTCCACTGTTATGCCTAGTTTTTGCATATGGTAGGAATGTACGTAACTATGTACAAACTGCATACCGAAATTTCTAAATTGATGGAATCCTCGACAATTACTCATTTAGCTATTTTCTGCTATCCTTGCAGCGACTTGACTGTGTGGACTACATTTTCTACTATGCCTATATAATATAGCTAGTACTTTATTAATAGAAAAGTAAAAAAGCAGCATGAAGAAAAGGTTTAAAGGTTGACTCAAGACTACATTTACTGAGGTCTATTTTACAATATATGGCTTCTTCATTCTTTAGCATTAGGTTAGGTTGTTCAACAATTCATTCGATCTGTACGTTCCGATAACCCTCTTGACTTGAGTAGTCATTGCTTTTGGACTCGGTGATGAATCAGAGCACAACACACACAGAATAGTTGTATAGGCTTCTTTTAATTTATAATTTTAACGACGACTCAGAATAGTTGACTGATGCACAACACAAACACATATATACGTACGGTGCTTCTATTTCATTAGAATATTTGTAAATCTGTTTAATTTTGTTGCAGGAGCCATTGGCTCACTAGTGAGCCTAAGAGGGTGTTAAAACTGTTTTCATATGATGTCTGTATGCAGCCTCCTTCATATCATATGGGGATAAAAAGAAATATATATAAAATTATCTCCGTAGGAGAAGCTATTTCTGTACGAACAGTGATGATATTTGAAAACCATAAGTGGGTTTTTCAATTGGCAAACACTAAATCCATTTGAATAATCTCAGCTTCTTCATGTAAAATGCGGAGATCGAGAAGTAAAGGTTTGTGACTTACTTTGATCAATTTCATATTATCTATCCATGTATTTAATATA